AGGGCCCTGATGTTGAAGTGGTGGATGTGAGGTTTATGAGTTGATGGGGCTCTGGTCGATCCACACTATGTGCGCATACCTCATGGTCTCGTCGATGGGGGTACGGTGATCCCATACGTGGACATAGAGGACGTCGACGTAGTCCAGCTTCATGCGCTTCAGCGATTCATCAAGCCCCTGCACCAGGGCCTTGCGGTGATTGCCGCCGTAGTTGGCGTTCTTGGCCGTGGGTGAAGGCTGGCAGTGGTGGCGTGGCCACGCAGTCAGAACTGGATGCACCGGGGCGCAATGATGACGAAAAGGTGGAGCATAGGTACCGGAAGACCAGGGAAGGGCGGCAGATTGATGCTGTACTTGGTGGCCACCACCATCTGGCTGCGAATCGGCGCCACCAGCTCACCCACGTACTGCTCACTGGTGCCGTTGGTGTAGACGTTGGCCGTGTCAATGAAGTTGCCGCCCTTTTCGACGTAGAAGTCGAACATGCGCTTGCTTTCCTCGAACCCTGCGCCCCATTGCTGCCAACCACCATCACCACGCCCATCATAAAGGTGAGATAAGGGCAGCAGTTTAACGCACCACTCGCGTGGTTGAGTCGTACCCCCCAGTTGGCGCCGAAGGTCATGGCCCCGAGGCAGAGGGGAGACACGCGCAGGCCCGACGCGCCCAAGAGGCGGTAGTCGTCGAGCTGGGCCAGAGGCTTGTCAATAATGCTCTCTTGTTCGGCGGTCGCAGACTTGTTCATCCTTGGAGTCGTAAAGTGGTTGGGTGCGTGGGTTTGTTGTGTTGTTGATGTGTTGATTGTGGAGGAAAAGAAGTAGCTGGGGCACTATTTTATATGTGTGGGGCAGGCCCGCAACATTGCCAGCCAAACAAACACACCACTGCTGGGAAACATGCATATTCGGAGCTAGAAGTTTTGTCCAATTGAAATTGCACCTTGAATAATTGTACACAAGCTCCGAATTTTCCTCTTTTCGGCCAACCACCAGATACCAACCGTGGGAATGTTGAGAAATGTGGCGGTTGTGGGGAATGTGGTACCCCACGCAGCACTCCTGGGGGCCGATGCCGACGGTTGGGGTGGTAGGTGCACTTGTCGAGTCCCCAATCTCTTTCCTCTTCCCCCCCCCCAGTGGTGTGATCCACGTGCGCCAGTTGATGATGATTGAGATGACGTCTGGGGCACTTGTGGTGTGCTGGCTCCACCGCCAAGCGCCTCCTGCTCTCAAGAAGAACACGATCGATCACGAAGAAAGAACGAAAACGAGAATGACGCGAAGATGTGTGACGCACGTTTTACTTTTACTACAGTGTTTGTACAACAACAACAACACAGCAAAGAGGCTCGCCTAGAAGCACTTGCGATGAACAATCGAGGGTTTCTTTCCGATGTTTCTCCTTTCAAAAGCACTTGCGGTGGACAATCGAGGGACCAGACTCGTCGTACTCCTCCTTGGAGATCCACATCTGCTGGAAGGTGGAGAGCGAGGCCAGGATGGAGCCGCCGATCCAGACGGAGTACTTGCGCTCTGGCGGGGCGATGATCTTGATCTTCATGGTCGACGGCGCGAGGGCGGTGAGCTCCTTCTGCATGCGGTCGGCAATGCCGGGGAACATGGTGGTACCGCCCGACAGGACGACGTTACCGTAGAGGTCCTTCCTGATGTCGACGTCGCACTTCATGATCGAGTTGTAGGTGGTCTCGTGGATGCCGGCCGACTCCATGCCGAGGAACGAGGGCTGGAACAGAGCCTCGGGGGCACGGAAACGCTCGTTACCGATGGTGATGACCTGACCGTCGGGCAGCTCGTACGACTTCTCGAGGGCCGACGACGAGGCGGCGGTGTGCATCTCCTGCTCGAAGTCGAGGGCGACGTAGCACAGCTTCTCCTTGATGTCGCGCACGATCTCGCGCTCGGCGGTGGTGGTGAACGAGTAGCCGCGCTCGGTGAGGATCTTCATGAGGTAGTCGGTGAGATCGCGACCGGCGAGATCGAGACGCAGGATGGCGTGGGGCAGGGCATAACCCTCGTAGATGGGCACGGTGTGGGTCACGCCGTCACCCGAGTCCAGCACGATGCCGGTGGTACGGCCCGAGGCGTAGAGCGAGAGCACGGCCTGGATGGCGACGTACATGGCGGGCGTGTTGAAGCATCACAGTGTATTCTCTCAGAGGGTCATGGTGACGCTGAACACATTTCATCTTAACTGTTCTTCTTGTCGTGGGTTGACGGTGGCGCATGCTATTCCCTTTCTGCTGAACGCGAGTCGTGAGAATGTGTAACAACGCACGGTCCTTGGGGTAAGCAGTGTACCAGTGGAGTCCGTAGTCCTTTGCTTCAATAGGGTTCCTTCAAGTTGTTCTCCGCGTCGTAGAGCTTCTTGGCGGTGCGATTGATGACGGTCTTCTCTTGGTTGATGACAGATCGCATGGCCCTCTGGCGTTCCTGTATAGGGGCGTGAGATATCAAAAGGATGTGGATCACTTTTCCGTACCGCTTTGGAGGTCTTGCGGTCAGCTCGGACTGCCGCGTACTGAATAGAAAAGTTAACAATCTGTTCCGTCTTGAAGTCTACGAGGAGAGGAACATAACCTTAACCCTGCGGTTCTTCAATTCTTCATCACCTTCGAGTGCAGTGGCGACTTCATCGGGGAACGTCGTCTTGACCCAGTTCGCAAGCCACGTCTTGACAGCGTGGCTCTTCCGGTCACTCCTAAAAGTCCAGAAACGGTCAGAAAAGAAGCAAGAATAACTGGGTGGACGCACAGCTGTCTGGTGATGAGGTTTTTCTTCTGTTTGAGGTCTACTTGTTGTTTGCGCAGTTCGCGGGTCTCGTGTGTGAGCCCGTCATCTTCGATCTCGAGTGATTCATCACCTTTCAGTTCTGTCTTCTTCGCCTCATCCACCTTTTGAAAGATGGACAGTCAGCTATGAGCGTGGCGGAAGTGTGAGCTGATTACCTTGAGCTTCTTGTTCGCAATTGTTGAGTTGGTGATGCCAAGGTTGACCGCCACCTTATCTATCCTTGCGCGAGTGCTATCTTGTCCCCGACGTATCGCTTGTTCTTGCCGCTCGAGCAGGGTGATCTTGATGTCGAGCTCGTTGGCTTGTTCGTTCTTACGTAGTGCATCGGGCGCGAGCTCTTCGTCGAAGATCCGCTGAAGAAGTGAATCGGGGAGGAAGCAGAACTCTGTTTGAATCTTCGCGGGATCGTGCGGCGCTTTCAGATTGTCGAATGCAAGCGCCGTATCGCGGTCAACATCAGAGGAGACGGCTGTGGTGTCAATGAGCCTGTCAAGCACTACACCAATATTAGTAATGTAGGCAAGCAAGTACTGATCTTTGTAGTACCTCGATCAACATAGTGTTCTTGTGCTTTTGACTTCGTGCTGCCGCCAATTGCCCATCCTCCAATGCGTGCAAGCTGTGTCCACATTGTATCGGTCCACACACCTTGAAAAGGGAGATATGAGACTCTTGATGTCTAGAACGCTGAAGTGTACCTTTGTTCTTGCGCAGCATTGTCAGCACGAAGTCCGTTGCAAAGCCTGCACGGAGCGAGTGGATAGACCATTTGTTCTGGGGGTAGCCAGCTGCTGCAGCAGAGTCGCGAATCATCTTCGTCATCGCAGGCGTATCGAAGGGGACCGTGTTCGCAGGGAGTGCAAAGTGGGTGTAGTGGCAGAAGACCGGCCACTCCTTTGCCTCCTCTTGGACACGGAAATCGCCCTCAAGAGGGTGACCTAGAAAGATGCCGCGATCTTGTAGAGACTGAAGCGTGTGTAAGTCTTGGACGATACCAGCCTGAACTCAAGTAGTACCTTAATCAGAGCAAGTACGGGGCATTTGGACTTGTCAGGGTGGTGTGTTAGCGTGAGTGTGTGGGGCTCTTTCATCACCTGTTTGTATGAGTTGGTTACTTGTGTGCAACACAATTTTCGTGTTCAATTCGTGTACCTTGTCGAAATGAAATGTAGCTTCAATCCAGATCTTGGAGTCGTCCTTCTTGAAGAGGAGGTGGCCAACGTGGAGGGCAAAGAGCGAAGAAGCCCTCTTCCCCCAGGAGTGATCCGCCAATAAGATGGCCGCGTTCCGAGCATTCCGCCTCATTCCAGGCCGCATGCACGAGATGATGTGGGTGATGTCCGCTGAAGGAGGTCAGACTTGAATGAGCAAAGCAACTCGTGAAGAAAGCAAAACTTACCAGATAGAAGAGGTCGTGTGTGCTTCACATGCATGTTTTACTCTTCTGCAGTGAGGTGCAGAGCTGAGACATCTCTCTACCATACTCGATCGGAAAGCCTATGTGATACAACAATAAGCAAGTGAAGCGGCAAGTACGAGCGTGAGCATACCGAGCTCCTTAGAAATGCGTGCTAGACCTTGATAGTAGATGTTATATACGCCCTTATAGCCCGCGGCATGCATCTGGAGTGTCACTACTGAGTCTTGTGACCATAAATTGCTGCAAGTAGCAGGTCGCAAGTCGGAGGTCGTACATGCGTAAGGAAGCGCCTCATCGTGTCCAAGTAGATGGGAAAGCCGACACCACCATTGGCTTCGAAAGCACATGGCTTCTGGATCAGGAAGAAGTCGTAGGCCTCAGCTGCCCGCGTGCTGATGGCCCAAGTGCTGTCGGTCCACTTGTACTTTCGCACGGCGTTGTCGGCCATCTCATCGAGCTCCTCCAATGATTTCTGTGGCCCCTTGAAGCTCTCCTTCAACTTACTTGTCCTCTCTTTCCTCTTCTTCATCCTACTCGGTGTACTACTTCTCATGTAGAAGGCTGATGGCAACTGTGCATCGACAGAGTTTTGCCTGCGTTTGTATTTGCCCGCCAAAATGCGAAAATGCAAATAAGAAAGAATGCAAGGGTAGCATGGGCTGCTCCTCGCCCAGGGCAGCCGTTTCTGCTCGAAGGATCGCCCTTTGGGCGATGTCGGAAAGCGGTTTGTAAGGGAAACAAGAAGGTGGGACAGAGACGAGCGGGGTCCGTCAGAAAGGCCGCGGTGGACCGATTAGGAGAAAGGAAGCGACACACGCACGACACACGCACGACACACGCCTTCCAAGACAGTATTGGGCCAATTTCTTTTTTAAAATATTTTTTTCTGGCAAACCCACATATCACGTGGTATTGATTGAAAGTCTCGAACATGATCTGGGTCATCTTCTCGCGGTTGGCCTTGGGGTTGAGCGGGGCCTCGGTGAGCAGCACGGGGTGCTCCTCGGGGGCCACGCGGAGCTCGTTGTAGAAGGTGTGGTGCCAGATCTTCTCCATGTCGTCCCAGTTGGTCACGATGCCGTGCTCGATGGGGTACTTGAGCGTGAGGATACCACGCTTGGACTGGGCCTCGTCACCGACGTACGAGTCCTTCTGGCCCATGCCGACCATCACGCCGGTGTGGCGCGGGCGACCGACGATCGAGGGGAACACAGCGCGGGGGGCGTCATCACCGGCGAAGCCAGCCTTGCACATGCCCGAACCGTTGTCGATGACCAGAGCCTGAACCTCGTCTCCCATTGTTGATGATGTAGTTGGTGGTGGTAGTGTTGTAGAGTTGTAGTAAACTGAAGAATACAGTGATGGTGGTGTTGGGTTTTATGTGGGGCGGTGGTGCCAACGCGGTTGCTCTTGTCGCCTGGCACTTTGGGTGGCGCTTCTACTGCGCGCTCTTGTTGAGCCAATGGCATCTTTGAGCTAGCTCGTCGCTCGCGCTACCGCGGTTTTCAACTCTAGCTCCGTTGCATCACCAATCGCCTGCTGGATATACCTCGTCCTTGGCCTCTACGGCGTTGCTGGCGTTGTCTCAAATTTGTGAAAGAGCAACAGTGCAAGACAAGAAAATAAGAGAAATGCGGGCGATGAAGTTGAAGAGGGTTGTGAAGGTGTGGTGGATTTAGCTTGTCCAAGGCGTGAGTAATAATAAGACAATGTTGATCCCGCTTTAAAATGCAAGTTACACCTTCACAACCCTCTTCGTCTTCATCTCCTCTCCTTTCTCTTACAATCACACCACATCGGTCGCCCACACACCACAAACATCATCGCCGAGTGCAGAACCTTCTTCTCGCGTCACTACTACTTGAACTTGACGATGATGACGGAGATGTTGTCCTGGCTGCCGAAGAGGTACGCGTAGTCCCGCAGCTTCATGCTGGCCTTGAGGATGTCGTCGCTCTCGCTCGCCACGATACGGCACGCCGCCTCATCCGAAATTACATCCCACACGCCGTCACACGCCTGCGGTGGGAAACGCCGTGTGCGGTGGTGATGAGACCCCGTTTGTTGTGGATGGGAG